GCCGGCAATGCTACAACAGACATGGCACCAATCATTCCCATTCCAACGTTTCAAGCGGAAGTAGTAGATGCGGCTCAATACGATCCCATCCTCATGCGTCAGGCCAAAGCCAGCGGCGATGTAGCGGTCACCAAATCTTGGACCACTACCATTGGATATTTTGGACCCAGTCATGTACGATACCGACGTGATCGAGGCGATCAGGGAGAGGTCCACGTAGAACTCTTCTTGTGTCCCACTACCGAAGGAAAGAGTCGAGTCTTTTTGTTCAATGTCATGGTTCCTGGTAAACAACAGCCTCCAGTGAATACGGCAAAACCTCATCTCGGCCAAAAGCTATGGAACAACCTCAAGCCTTCGACATGGAAGCAACGAATGATGAAACGAATTCTCCAAAACTTCTTTGCTGGAGAGCGGGGACACCTTGCGTCACACAGTATTTTTGATGGAGACGGCATCTTTCTGCACAAACAAGGGAATCGAATGAAACAAGCCAAGAAGAGCTATCAAGACTATTCGACACCGTCATCCGCGGATATCCTACTCAATGCCTATCGAAGATGGTTGGACCAAGTGGCCCAGAAAACGCGAGCCAATGGCTTGGACGCAGTTTCGCAGTCCGTGGTGGGCAGCAATGCCTACGCGGCGGATGATGATACGGCAAGGTCGCTCCTGTTGGATCGGTACAATACGCACACAAAAGACTGCCCACTTTGTCTAGCATCGCTTCAAAAGAAAAGACGTCAAAATGCCAGACTACAGGTGTTACAAACGGCACTTCAAGGTGCAACCGGTGCATCTATGACGTTGTTCCTAGTTGCCTTGGCCGCAGCGCAGGCTTCTGGCGTACGCCTCGCCCCTCTTCTGCGAGCACTTGGCTTTGCTACGGCAGGCACATTTGGTGGTTCCCTTTGGAGCAGACAACAACAGGAGAAGCTGGACAAGAAGATCAACTCCTTCATCTTCGAAGACTATATTCACGCAGAAAAGAACTAAAGATACATAGAAACCTAAAGAGCACACAGGAACTGGCTACCCTTGTGCTCAAAAATCTTTCAACCGGCCACACTGCATCGTAATCACAAGTTCCACCAATGTATTTCTTGCTCAGGTTTGTCATAGCGACTATCATCCAATCCCCATTTCTTTGGGTTCACTGGATTCACGCCTCCATAGGTGTCAGGCAGGTTTTCTTCAGAAATATACTTCAAAAGCTTCTTGCGGTCTTTTGGATTGTCTTTGGGATAGACAATATCAAACTTGGTCCTGACACGCTTGGGTAAAAATGGACTAAGGACTCTCCAGAGGACACCAATAAAAGTAGGGGCATTCAGGACAATCATGCTTTCCAATAGCTGCGGGTAGCAATCTTCCATCAGAGTCATCGCTCGGGCGTCTCTGCCAGCACATTCCAGGTTCAACCAAGTCAGAGAGATTCCACTGCAGTCCATGAATCGCGTTGTTTTGGTCAACCTTCCAGTTTTCCTGGTCACATAGTCAAGACACTGGAAAGTATACTCGGCGGGATACAAATGGTAGGCCAACCAATAGTCTTCTGGGAACTTTTCTACCACGGCATGGGTATCAATGCCTTGAAGATAAAGGAAAGCAATGACACCTCTTTTGGGATCAGGATGACAAAAGGCGGCAGCGTCATTTTGTTTCCAAGCACCCAAGAACTCAGCCATCTTGCAATCCTTTAAACAAAGTGGAGGCAAGTTTCGAATTTCCAACTCATCAAGATGGTACTTCTTCCTGAACTCTAAGGTATACTTGGCTGCTTCAATGGCAGACTTGCTCTTCTTGTGAGACAACCAAAAACGAAGGATCCACAGGTCATCATGCTTCTTGGGGTTGTAGAGAGGATCATCCTCCAGTGCAGCCTTGATTTTTGCAATCTTCTCAGCATGCTTGAGGACTAATTCCTTCACTGAAGGACGGTCATCTTCAGGACAAACAGGCTCAATGGGATCAGCTAAACCCACCTCTTCTCCGTTCATCCAGGGCCAAGAAGCCACGTTTGGGGTATTCTTCAATCTGCGCACAGCAACAGCGCAAGTGCGATGTGGGGAGGCCTGCCGATGCGAGCTTTAGAGTACGACGGAGCCAAAGGACTACATTGTGGTAGCAGCCAAGAGCAGAACCTGTGTCATCGGAACTTGGCCAACTGGGCCAATCCATGCATATCCAGGTCCGTAAATGTCAACGCGACGAAAGATTTGAATTTGTATCATCGTGCTCATGGAAAGTGGAAGGATCCAACGACCCAACACACCACTCGCCGTGCCGTGCTTGTGGCTTGTGGGCACGGGAAATAATTAGGGTCCCAACTCTCCAAAACGTTTTCCAGCCACGTATCGGTATCGGTATCGGTATCGGTATCGGTACATGAACCGGTACCGATATACTCACACTAGCTGGCTTAAACAAAATACTCCATTACGTAATAAAAAGCTGAGATGGTCGCTGAACCAATCTGCAACCACCGCCAACCTCAACCCGCACCACCTCTGGTTCGTCCACCCGCACTCCGTACAACCGGTCTGGCCGGGTATAGTCGTCTACCATTGAGGTGTGATTGAACTAATTAAATCTTTCTAAATGAGTGTTGCTGTCTAAAGAAGAGGCAGTCTTCCAGCAACGATGGAGGAGCATAGCGAGAATGAAGGTGCAAATCATCCGTCACAACTGAGGGAGAGAGATATACATTATTGTCTCCTCTGAAGTACACGTCGCTAGTGGTAATGGTACAGCTGTGCTGGAAACCTGCTCAAGCTATGGAAGGCAGAATAAGAATCTGTGTGGCCTGCCAGGGGCATGTCGCCTAGCTAGAGCCTGCCTGAGGTTGGGAAGAGTCTTTGTGACGAAGCTGTACCCCCCTTGGTCATTGGATGTCACCCCTATGGTCTGATTTGGTCGTTGGATGTCGCCCCTATGGTATGCTTTCGGAACAAGTGCTCCGTAATAAGATGACGGGAAGTTCAAAGCGAAACTGCAGCCTGAGAAGTCCCACTTCATTCATTCAAATAAAGCAATTATCTCTAGCTCTTGGATGTTGATGCCACCGGTGAATGCACATTGTGATCCATAGCCGTTCCCACCCTCCAAGAAAAAAAACTGAAACGCGTCGTCACTATCGTTGCTGATATCCCTCAACAGTAATCCATGATGGCGCTGTTCTAATGCTTGCCCTTGTGCAGGCACAGCGTTTTCTCGGATGCTGCGAATTGCGAACGGAGCTAGACCGGGAATCATGGTGTGGGGTACTGGTACCCAGCAAGATTCCAATACCCATGACGAGTTCACAGATAGAGCTGAACCAGAGAGCCCATGGCAACCACGAGTTGACATGCTTCTATTCTGCACTGCATGCCGGTATGGTAGTAACGTTCTTGGTCTCGCATGTACCTGGACCGGTTCTGGTGTGGAAGTTGGAAGAAAAGATCCGATGGCACGAAGTTCAATTCAAGACAGCAGAGCTGCGTACATGCATCTTTAAAGCGGGGCAGTTCCCCTTTGGTACACTTGTACCGGATGACTTACAGAACGCTCCTTATCCACATACGCAGGAAAGGCCTTGCTGACTCTTTGCATCTTCAAGGGAACGACCCTTTAAACACCACACTTCCTTCCATGTCGATCAGTGAAGCTCCGGTACGGGTAGGTTTGGAAATAATCGATCGAATTCCTTGTAGCTTCGAAAGGGGCCGCAAAGGCTCCAATGTTCTGGCGCTAAGTCGTGGTGGGTGGTGGGTGCTGGGACCTCACTCATTCATTTATTTCATTGCAACCGAGAGCTCTCATCGCATCCATTTGATGACACAAAACAATCTCATAATTTCACACAACCGAACCCAATACTCTACCCAACAAACAAGCAAACAGGATACACTGAACGTCCCTTCCAAAGAAGATAACTGAAGCAATGACGGACTCCAACTCTGGGAATCCGCCCAACATGCCTGACTCCAAGTTGGTGTCAGACACCATTGTTACTACCGACGGAAAAGTCGCCGATACTTCGCCGCCGATTGAAGATATGGAAGCACCTCCGCAGCCTCCCGTGGTCGAACCAACCATCAAAGAGCTACCCAGCAATACCTCCTCTGCCTCCTCTACTTCTGCCGCCGAGCCTCCCGCGGATGCCCCTTACCGATACAAGATCGGTCGAATGCCCGAAGAAGAAGCGTGGTTTCTCTCGCGTACATTCTTTCTCTGGGCCCGTCCCCTCTTTCAACGAGCGTCCTATCTGGCCAAGCGAGGCCAGGCTCTGGAACAGGACGATCTCTTACCCCTACCCACCCAAGATCACGGAGGCGTCTTGGGTAACACTTTTGAAACGGCCTGGAAAAAGGCTGTTCAAGAAGCACCCACTCAGGTTACCTCTCAAAAGCTCTCCGAGCTCAAGGGACAGCAGAGCCGATCCACTGCCAAAGTCCGCAAGGCTGTCGGTGCTGTCATTGGACGGGCCTTTTGGTTGGCTGGATTCATCAAGGTCGTCAATACCGGCTTGCAATTCACTTTCCCGCTCCTCTTGAATGCCATCCTGTCCTTTATCGAAGATACGCAGGCAGGACGCATCCCGGACGATGCTCCCTGGCACGAACAGTACCGTGGATACCTCTTGTCGGTTCTTCTCTTTGTTTTCATGGCTTCCAAGGCCGTGACGGAAAACGTTTACTTTCACAAGGTGTACCGCTCGGGATACCAGTCTCGTGTGGCTGTCAGTGTGGCTGTGTACAATAAGAGTCTCCGGTTGGCCAATGCCGAACGGCAGGACACGACACTGGGTGAACTCATCAACCTGATGCAAGTGGATGCTACCAAGATTGAAATGTTTGTGCCACAGATTCACGTCTTGTGGGACGGATTGTTGCAGATCACCGGATACATGACAATTCTCTATACGCTCATTGGATGGCCTTGCTTTGTGGGATTGGCACTCATGTTGGTCTCGGGTCCTATGCAAGGAATCATCATGGGCAAAATGTTTGGAGAGAATCACAAAATGGTCAAGTTCACCGACAAACGCGTCAAAACTACCAACGAAGCCCTTCAGGGCATTCAATGCGTCAAAATGTACACTTGGGAAGAATCGTTCTATCAAGAGATCAGCAAATGCCGCGACGGAGAGCTGGGACACTTGAAAGCCATTGCCTACTTGCGAGCCTTTAGTCGATCCTACATGAGTGCCTTGCCCGGACTAGTGGCCGTGGTTTCCTTCTTGGCATATGCCTTGGCTGTCCCTGATGCCAACGTTTCCGCCTCGACACTCTTTGCGGCATTGGCCGCCTTTGATCAGTTGCGATTCCCACTCCTCTTTTACCCCATGGCATTGGCGCAACTCTCGCAGGCTCAAGTCTCGGCCGCACGTGTGGAGAACTTTTTGGGAATGAAAGAAGTTGGCAAGGGCGAAGTTCGCGAGGGCGCTTTGTACACACGTGTGAATGATGCTACTACCGAGGGTGCTGGTGAGATTGCCGTCGATAACGCAACCATCTACTGGGCCGATCCCAATGTTCCAATTGTCAAAAATCAATCCAGTCATGATGATGATTCATCCGTCTCGAGCAAGTCAGTAGCGAGCAGCAGAAAGTCGGGTCAATCCAAATCCACAGTGAAGGAAGACCTGATGAGCGGAGAACTCTCGGCAGCTGGCTCCGAAGCTGAGTTGGTGTATCCCAAGCCCGTCCTGGAGAACGTATCGTTTGAAGTGAAGCCTGGGGAACTCTGTGCTGTCGTTGGGCGTGTGGCCAGTGGCAAGAGTACCTTGTGCTCCTCTGTTCTCAACGAGACTATCCTGGGAAGTGGCAACGTCACCCTCAAAGGAAAGGTCGCATATGCGGCTCAATCTCCCTGGATCCTTAACGCGACTCTCCGCGACAACATTCTTTTCGGGTTACCTATGGACGAAGCCAAGTACCGTCGTGTTCTTGAAGCTTGTCAGTTGTCTTACGATCTCGAATTGTTGGAACAAGGCGACATGACTGAGATTGGAGAGCGTGGAATCAACCTTTCGGGTGGACAGAAGCAACGTGTAAGTGTGGCTCGTGCTGCCTACGCTGACGCCGAAACCATCATTTTGGATGATCCTTTGAGTGCCCTGGATCCAGAGGTTGGCAAGAAGTTGTTTGACGAATGCGTTGTCAAATTGATGCACGGAAAGACTCGCCTTTTGGTAACCAATCAACTTCAGTTCATCCAGTTCTGTGACAGCATTGTGGCCTTGGGTCAAGGACGCGTCCTGGAACAGGGATCATATGAGCACCTGAGCCTTGCCGGAGGCGAAGTCCAACGTATCCTAAACGAGCTTGCTGCTGGGAAAGAATCGGTGCAGGAGTCCACCAACGGAAAAGACAAGAAGAAAAAGAAGTCAAAAGATAAGAAAAAGGCCAAGGCAAGTGAAACGTCTTCAACCACCCCGCAAGACATGCAGAAGGAAAACACTGGCTTGGTGACAAAGGAGGAACGAAATGTTGGGGCTGTCGCTGCGTCTGTCTACGGAAACTACATGAAGTCGGGTGGCGGATATTTGAAGTTCTTCGTCGTGTACTTTGCATTCATCCTTTCGGCCGCCAATGGTTTGGCAAGCGTATCGTGGGTGTCTTTCTGGACAAGTGATGCCAACTACGAGAAAAACTCACAGGGATTCTACTTGGGAATGTACGGTCTGATTGCAGGTAAGAGACCTAAATGTTCATCCCAGTGGCTACGTGTGCGTTGTTTTGTTTGCTAATTTTGTGCTTGTCTCTCTCTTCCCCAGTCACTCTGGGTGTTGTCACTTACGTCAGAACTTACCTGCTCGTCAGGTTTGGTGTTGATGCATCCGAGAAGATCCACGGTGACCTATTGAAGTCCATCCTGAATGCTCCCCAAAGCTTCTTTGACACAACTCCCATTGGTCGCATTCTGTCTCGCTTTTCGAAGGATTTGTACTCCATCGACGTTGAGCTGGCTGAGTACTTGGACTTCTTTATGTTCATGAGTCTGCAAGTTGTCGTGTCTCTGGGAACAATCATGTTCGTCACGCCTTGGTTTGGGCTCGCCATCCTTCCGCTTGCCGTCATATACATCAACTTTTTGAACTATTTCAGGAACGTTGCTCGAGAGACCAAGCGCTTGGAGAGTGTGTCGCGATCCCCCGTCTACGCTCAATTCAGCGAAACCCTCGGGGGGCTGGTTACCATTCGAGCCTTCGGCCAGGGCACTAGATTCATGGATGGCTTCGAGGAAAGAGTTGACTACAACATTCGCGCCTGGTATTGCAACAGGATGGCTGATCGATGGTTGTCGGTTCGGCTGGAGATTGTAGGAGCAATCTGTGCAGGCCTCGCCGCCATCTTTGCTTCCAATGTGGCAATCTCAGGTGCCGGATCTGGGGCTCCCAGCGATTCCAACTTTGCATCGTTGGCGGGCCTGTCGCTCACTTTTGCCATCTCGGTAACAAGTCTTCTGAATTGGTGCGTTCGATCATTCGCACAACTGGAAGCCGCCATGAACGCCTGCGAGCGTGTCCTTCATTACACTGAAGCGATCCCACAAGAAGCAGCACGTACATCAGAAGAGTTGGAGCGACAGGCTGCTGATAGCCAAGATCCTCGGGATCCATCCAGTCCTTCCACTTTTGCTGTAACGGCCAACGGTGGAAAGGCCGAATCCTTCTCTAAACAATGGCCAGACAAGGGGGCCATCACTTTGCAGAATCTCAAGATGCGATACAGAAAGGACACGCCACTTGTGCTCAAGGGCTTGTCAGTTTCCATTAACGGGGGAGAACGCATTGGTGTTGTGGGCAGGACCGGCTCGGGCAAGTCCAGTCTGTTGTTGACTCTACTTCGGTTGGTAGAGCCATCACTGGACGACAACGGTGGCCAATACAACGAATCACCCATTTCGATTGATGGTGTTGACACCTTACGTGTCGGTTTGAAGGAGTTGCGCTCTAGATTGGGGATCATTCCTCAGAATCCCGTCCTCTTCTCCGGTACCATTCGTTCCAACATTGATCCATTTGATGAATACACCGATGATCAAATTTGGGCTGCCTTGGAAAAGTGTGGCATGAAGACGGCCGTGGTGGAAATGCCTGGTATGCTAGATGCGACTGTGTCGGAATACGGAGAGAACTTGAGCGCCGGGTCTCGCCAAATGTTGGTGTTGGGCCGCGCTCTCTTGAAACAGTGCCGCATCTTGCTCCTCGATGAAGCGACCAGCTCGGTGGACTACGAGACGGATCGTGAGATTCAACGCACCATCCGAGAAGCCTTCCCCGGCTGCACGGTTTTGACAATTGCTCACAGAATCAACACCATTATGGATTCGGACAAGATCCTTGTGATGAAGGATGGTTTGGCCGCCGAGTTTGCTCCACCACAAGAGCTTCTGGGGGATGCGAATTCCATCTTTGCGGACATTGTCCGTCACAGCAACCAAGACAACGAAGGAGGAGAGGCTAAAGAAGACTAAATAATCAAGTCTGCGTATTCATGACCACACTGGTACGAATGAATAACCAATAATGGACGTATGCACATTCTGTGGCAAACTGCATGTGGCTTTGCAAATTGTGTCTTTAGTAGATGGTGTGTGTTTTCTAGCTAGTGCACTAGGCTATGACATGACTCCTTCATCGACCTCTGCTTTCCAAAACCTCAAGGATTGCTCTTCATCGGCCAAAAAGGGTGAATTTTCGACGTATATTTCGTCGTTGCCCAGCCGCCACAGTTTCAAGTCCTTCTTGTGGGTAGTGTCCATCAAGACCATGGCACTTCCAATGGGTTCCACCCCCATCAATGTGGCCATGGGATCTTGGACAAACTTTTCTCGTAACTGCGCCAGTTTGGGATTGTCGTGTTCTTCTACGAGTGTAAAAACTTGTGTGGTGCGTCCAATCAATTTGAGAACGAGTTCCAAATGAGCATTGGGCGGAATTTCTTTGGTCAAGAGACTGCGCAAATCTGTACCAACATGGCTTCGGGGGTCGGATCGACGGTGGGATAAATGGTTTCTCGGACAAACTTCCATTTCTTTTGTTTTTCCTTGGCCAGAATCTTGCGTTCCACCAATCCGGCAAAGGTCTCCTTTTCCAGTTTGGTGGCCAATTCAGTGCCTGTAGCAAGTTGTTCGAGAAAACGTTGTATGGATTTGGTATAGCGCTTCTTTTTGTTGACGCGACGATTTTCTTGTCGCACGTAGAGTTCTTGCAACAACGCCGTGGTGGCGGGGACACTGACGGGTTCGGTGGACACGACCAAGAAGGACAGTTGTTTCTTCTGTCCTTCCGGGGAATCCCACAGCAATTTCAGGCGTCCTGCCAGTAATAGGTCGGCAAGATGGGCCGCCAAAAAGCGCGCACTGGTTGAAGCGGAACGAGGTTCCACCGTGCCTCCTTGAGCTTCTTGTTGCCACAAGAGGGCAAAGGATTCGCCAATGGACAAGTGAGATCGATGCCACGTTCGAATATCTTCTCGCGGTTTCACTTCCAGTAAATGGCCCAAACACAACATGGACGCCAAAATGTTGCGGGCTGATTCGGCTTCGTCTGTCATTTTATTAGATAGATCGTTCCTTTCTTACTTTCTTACTTTCTTACTTGCTTGCTTGGAGTTGGGTGAGTGATTTCGTTCTTTCTTTGTGGATGAAGATGAAGTCCTGATGAGGTCTTTACAAGAGACCGACCTAATGTACCATACCTTTAGATGATGAAAGACCAGCTTTGATCTTTGAAACATCCCAACGATTTTGGATGTGGGAGAGGGAAAAGATCGCGATCTTTTGAAAAGCCTGAACCCTACCGTAGGTACTTCGGCAAACCTGCGCTCCTCGACACGTTGGACGCATGGTGCTGGCAACGAGGGCTGACTCAAAACTGCTGTTGCTCCAATCCATCTCTACTATACAAAGGACACCCAGGAGTTAATAGTATATACCGGGCGAGATGAATTAAAAGATGGGCCGCAGTTCGATGAGGGTACTCGGTTACCAGTACTGAGAGGTAATATTGTTGAAGTTTGGTCTGAAGGTAGTGTCATTAGATTTTTCCGTCATGAGAAAAGTGGCGTGGTAGCATTACGGGATATTTAGAGTGTGTGCAACATGAGACGTTAGATTTTTCAATCTGAGAATGGCGTGGTAGCTTACGGTGGGTTTAGAGGCTGTGCAATGTGAGACGTTGGATTTTTACGTCTGAGAAAGAGGCGTGGTAGCATTACGGGATGTTTAGAGGTGTGCAACGTGAATCA